CATGGCAGTCAGCATCCCGGTTCCCCAGGGAACGTCCCCTCCCTGGAGCAGACAGGGACAGCAGACAGCTGGGTCAAGGCAGGGATCCTGGTTTTAATGGTGGCTCCCAGCCTGGCTGAAGCAACATATTCAGGGCTTGATCCAACCATTTACCAGGCTTTCATAGGGACAAATTATCCCCAAGCTGCTAAAAATTGCATTCTACTGACCTACCAATCCCACCTTGGGCAATAAAATGATGCTCTTGGTCCTCGTGTCCTCTGTGGCACCGTATTTGCTGCATCTGTGAGCACTGGCGGGTCTGGGCAAGGCAATTCACATCCCTGATCTTCTCGGGGGAGGCCCACCAGCCCCCTGAACACCCGTGGCGTTTCAAACAGAAGCAAGCCAGGCCTGGGGAAGCCAGTTCCCTGTCGCTGGGCTGCTGTTTGGTGCAGAAAGCAGGGTTTGCTGCCCAGTCCCAGCAATGCCATCCGCTCCCATTGCAGGCTGGATGGAACCCTGCTGGGCCAGGGCATTGAGGAGCAGAAGAGGCTGCCCACCTTCAACAGGACCCTGGCATTGCTCTGACAAGTCATCAAGTCCTCCAACACTCACTACAGCGGTCGGAGAAATGGATTCTTTCACCGAACACAGCTGTGTAAAACCCACTTCTGGTCCTTACGCACACGTAACTCATGGTGTAATGCATCCAGCACTGATTGTTCTGTATGTATCCACACCCAAGGTAGCCCTGAACCTCAGATGCATTTTTCTGATTGATTTAATTACTATATTTTTATCAGTGTTGTTTATTTTCAAAAGCGTTGTTGACAGGAGGAGTTGTCTGAAAGCACCCGAGGGTTAGCCGGCAGCACCTGCACCTTGGGTAGCTGCCAGGGTGCAGGGGATGCGCAGTAATTTTATATCCCCCAGTAACTTCCCGAGGGGTGAATCTAAGACAAGCCCTGCAACTACCGCTTCACTGGGCATAAAAACATTGTCCTGTAGTCATGCAGTTACAGTAACATCACTGGAGGGAATGAAAGTTCTCAGGAAAGTTAGTCAGCCAGGTGTGAGAGCTAGTGCTGTGGGAAGAGCATGTCCAGGGTTGGTTGGGATGTGCCACATCTCTCAGCCAAGACCCCAAGCCTAAACTGCAAATCCTCTGCAGGATGGAGAGAGGTCCTGCTGCTGGAATGACTTGGTCTCTCACCTGTCCTGACTTCTCTTCCCTAGCCCTGGCCTGGTGCTACCTGGACATGCTGCTGGAAAGGAAAGAAACATTTTCCACCACCCCAATGCCAGTCCAGGACTGTGGCTTCTCTGAGACTGACCCCCTCGATTGCTTTGGCAAGGTGCTATACCCAGCGCTGCTGCGCCAGGGACTCATTGAAGGCAGCTGCCATCGCCTGCATGGTCCTTCATGCATCTTTCCCCCATCTTCAGCATTTTCTCATGGAAATCCCCCCAAGGCAAAGAGGGAAGGCCCCAGATGAGAGCAGAGACCCTCGGCACACCCCTCTCTGGCCATGCATTTGGCCCCAATGGCATAAATCAGCTCTGGTTAAAGCAGCAGGTGAGCAGTTTGGTGAAAGGCTGCAGGGACAGCACTACCTTTATTAGATTCCCCTGGCACAGCTGGAAAAAATAAGGAGCACAGACAGGCTTTCAGACACATAACCCCTGAGCTTAGCCCCACATTCAGTCCTGCCTGCTGATTTAATGAGAGGTATCAGCTTTCCCCGCATCTCTTGTATGGCCTTAAACCCTCCCGGTTAAAACACGGCCCCAGCGAATCAATCCAAGATGGTTTTGTCCCTTTGATCAACACAGCAGGCAGTAAGCCACTGACAGAAACGTGTTTCCCTTCTCTGGTTTGAACAGGCGATAGAAATGGTGAAAGACAACCCTCCCATCCTGCACCGCCTGGCAAAACTCTTCCACTTCCTAGGCAAGCAGGAGATGGCCAAGGGGTATGCAATATGGTACTGGATGTGCTGGGGGACCCATAGCTCAACTGGCAGGCGTACTGCACCCAGGCACAGGTACATCCTCATCGGGGCCAGCACAGCGTGCTGGGTGTCCAAGGTGTGGGCAAGTGCCCTTTCCATGGGGACCTGTCCTGCTCCTTCAGCCTCCAGCCAGCCGCAGCACTTCTCCCAGACAGCGTTTGCATTGCATGTTTAATTGTCATGAGAAACATGTAGGGATAAGTAATTACCTGATGAAACTGGTGAGGGTTCGTCTGGGAGTGAAGTTGCTACCTTGCACTGAGCCATCTCACAGAGCTGGCTCGACTATTTAATGAATTTTGATGCTCCTAAATCACTCAGGAGCATCAAAAATGTGCCATTCAGTTCCTTGATGTTGCCCATTTCCAGCCCCCTGTAAACAGCAGTGCACATTAGTGAGTAATTCCCATTATAGAAGAATCATTAAGATTTCTTCAAATCCCATTTTGAAATAAAGAAAGGACTCATTCTTATTTCCTTATATCTAAACAGGATTATTTAACTCCTCATAAAATGAGGCCCACTGAAGTGAAATCTCCTCCGCTAGTGGAATACTTCAATATGTGCTTACAACTGCTCCTCAGAGATGTTTAACTTCCCTTGAGCTCGAGGCAGGAGGCTGGAAAGTGCAAGTGTGGAGGTGGTCACTGGGTGCCAGGCAATGTCTGCCCGTCAGATTGGACTGGAGAAAGCTGAATTGACATAAGAAAAAGGTTTTTTATTTTTCTCATGATCACTGGGAACTGAATTTACAGCCAAGGTCAACAGGGTGAGCAGCATCTCAGGGGTTTGCACCACAGCTCCCAGTACTGCTCACCTTAAGGCAGCCTGGGGTCATGTTTTGGACACAAGGTGCTGCTGCTGGGGGAGCTGGCCTGGCTCTCTGGTGTAGCTCGGCATGGCCAAGGAGCTGACCTGATGCGTGCCAGTGATTTGTATTGACATCATTTTGTCATCCATCCTGCAACTGGGCACTAAGACAAGCTGATGAGTTTCCTCTGGTCTCCAGATCTGCATGAAGATGTATCATCTGCAAAATTTGGAACACGCAGGAGATGGGACAGGGCCTGGTGCCTGACAGAATGAAGCTCATGCATGCTAAAAACGCCCTGAAAAGCCTTCTCAAGGTCTGTCCCTGCCCAAGGACACTCCTGGACATGGGCCAGGTGAGGATGGGCACATCATAACCCTGAGATCCCAGAGAGCTACTTGCAGTGTCCCCAGGTTTTCATTAACTCTCAGCCCTAAAGGTAGACCATGAAGGCTGGGAGAACTGGCCTTCAGCTGCCTTTTCCTCCTGTTGGGCTCGGCTCTAGTTAGGTGCAAAGGAGATGGAGGCATGCAGCAGGGCTGAAGGCAGGACCAGGGAATGGAGGGATTGGTACTGTTAACATCACCCTTAGCTGGGAGGGAATTCAGAGAGCTTACAGGAGGGAAGAGCCACCAGGAAACATTAGACACAAGGATGGGAACAGGAATCCATCCCCGCATGTACACGATGGACATGGTGCTGAGAGCAGGTCAGCCACACTCTATTACTCCTCTCCCCAGAGCCCGATGGGGAATGTCACCTGCAGAGGCAGCCATTGGTCTTTGTTTTCTCCTGATAGCCCTATTTTGCTCTGCCATGCCTCCATTTACTATTTTTCACTATTACATAAGGGTGGATGCTGTGCAAGAACTGCTCCTGGTAGATGAAACTCCTGCACAAGGCTGTGGAGTTTGACCTGGGCAATACCGTACCCGAACTGCAGCTCTTCAGAGGCAAATGCCTGTGGCTTAAAAGCCAAGAAACACTTGCTATCGAGTGCTTCAAGTGGGCCATTGGACTGGACAATGTGAGCTCCACTGAGAGCTTGTGGTGGCTCCTGGAGCCACTGCTCGTGCTCTTTGGCCAGAAGAAGCTGAAGATGGAAGCGTTGATGCAGGAGGTGGAGCAGTGGGTTAAGAAAGCCAAGGAGAAATTCCCACAGCAGCGCTTGCAAGCAGGAGCTGAGGGCAGTTGGCTGCAACCGCACAACAGAGGTGACCAGGCTTCGCAAAGCCACGATGGCTTGCAGGAACATGGAGCTGGTGAACCTGCTGTTTGAGATGATGAAGGTCAGTTCTTCCAAGGGCAGGATGAACGAGCAGTCACTGTCCCGCTGAGTCATCGCGATGTCAGCAGGTTCTGCAGAGTGGCTGTGCCTCTTATAAGCTGTCAGAACCTTCTTAGTTTTCTAACCCTTGTTAATTCAAAAAAGCAACAGACAAATCCCTTGTGGCGTTAGCCCTGCAGGAGCCCTGTTGTTGCTCCGCTGTCCCTGGCACTGGTGGCCATCCACCACCATCCCCTGCCCATGGCTCCAAACCTCCAGCTCCCGTCCCAGGTAGGAGGCAGAGAGCCTGGGGTGCCCCCCGCCTCAGCCATGTTCCCGGCCACAGGACGGCAGAGCCAGGAGAAGAAGGGTTCCTGCTCCTGTCCTTGCTGCGGGGAAGCTGGGTTTTGGTGGCACCTGGGCGGGTGGCGTCCCCCCGGACCAGCCCACCTCAGCT